TCAGCATCATATCTACAACGGAAAGTACTATGTATTCCAAATATGGTGCTTAGAAGAGGTTTGGGCCAGCTTGCAAAATCTTATGCAGAAGGAATTACAATGTCTATTCTTCCCTAACTGCACTCATTTACACAACGATTAAACAATTTTTCTGCCCTAGACAATCCTTGTTCTGAATATAGATTTGAAGTGGCTCCTGAATTAGAACTGCCGTTCCTAATGCTGAGCCTGTGATTATTCAAACTCAGCATGAAAAGTCAGCAAACACCTCCCCACACCTTATATATTTGCATTTATCTTTATTTGACATCAGAAAAAAATTGTTTGAAAATGATTTAACATAAGCAGATGATCTTCAGGCTCAGGATGATGAGGTCTTATGTTACCCAGCTATGTCTACTTTTATTGGCTTTAGTCAAAGAATGACTCAACAGAATCAGATCCTGGAGAATATTTTGGGAGGTGTTAGGAAGGTCTAACACCAAGCAAGACCAGTATCTTGGTAAAATAGTTTAATTTCTTCAGAGGCTTCTGAGATTGTACAAATCAGAAAATATTTACTAGGTCATAGTAAAACTATTCTAAATATGTTAAACCTTTAAAACTTGTTACAGGCTTTTTAATTACAACAAGAGCAATTCTGGTCTCTGTAGGTCAATGGAGCCATTAGCTGTACTGTATATTTAGATTCATGTGACCTTAGTCAACTTATTAATGTGTTAAATATAGTTTTATTTTTCCTATTTGTTCTTTTCTTTTTTCTTTTTCTTTTTTTCAACTTTTTTTTTTTGTAGCTATGGGGGTCTTGCTATGTTGCCCAGGCTGGTCCCAAACTCCTGACCTCCTCCCTGCCTCAGCCTCCCAAAGTGTTGGGACTACAAGCATGAGTCACTGCCCTCAGCTGTTTTTCCTCTTTGTTACTACCTTACCCCGACCTCCCATCTTAAGGTCTGCTGTCTTTTTCCTCTTGATCAACGACATAAATTCATTTCTCAAATATATTGTGGTAGCTCACACTTATAATCCCAGCACTTTGGGAAACAGAGGCGGGAGGATGGCTTCAGGCCTGGAGTTCAAGACCAACCTGGGCAATGTACTGAGACCCTGTCTCTACCAAAAAAAATCTAAAAATTAGCTGGGTATGGTAGTGCAAGGTTGTAGTCCTAGCTACTTGGGAGGCTGAGGCAGGAGGATCACTTGAGTCCAGGAGGTCGAGGCAGCAGTGAGCCTTGATTGTGTCACTGCACTCCATCCTGGGTGACAGAGCAAGTCCCTGTCTCTAAAAAATAAAAGTAAAAAATAAAAGTAAAATATACTATGTCATGACTTACAGCTTTTAAGTATTATTTTTATTTTCAAGTTTAGCCTAATAAATACTTTTGTACATTTTTTTTTTTTCAACAGCTTCCTTCTATTCTAAAAGGGTTGCTATAGTATTTTAGCAGATCTATAAAGGAACAAGGATAATGTGGGCCACTGAGGATAGTGTGATTAAAAAATATTTAAGAAATATTCAATGGATATTTACTGAAGCATGCAAGGTATTATACTATTGGTAAGGAGCTAACATAATGGTAGGAGAGGCAGATTCATGAACAGAATTTTATTGCAATGTGGTGAGGATAATGATGAAAACATGCAGATAGGTGTCTCTTTCTCTGTGAGGCTATAAAACTAACTTGGCTTTGAAACACTGGGGAAGGCTTCCTGGAGGAGTTAATGCCTGGCTTGAGTCTTAAAATATAAGTAGGCAAAAAGTGTGGAGCAGAGAGCCTGAGCAAAGACATAGGGGAACAGGGAAGGGTCTCCCTTGTCTTTTTAGTTTCTGAAGTAGCTTCCTGAGTCATTGGTAGAAGGGGAGGCACCCAAGCCCTGTCACTGCTTAATCTTGACAGCCTTTTGCAAATATGCTGTGCAGCGGTGACCGCACAGGCAGCTATTATGACTAAACTATCAAGTTTACCAGATATCCCCCACCACCTTTAAGTACAACAACACTTTGCTGGCTGGGTGCAGTGGCTCAGCCTATAATGCTAGCACTTACTGAGGCCAAGGTGGGAGGATCGCTTGAGGCCAGGAGTTTGAGACCATCCTCAGCAACTTAGACCTCTGCCTCTACAATTAAACAAAACAACACTTTCCTCATTTTCTAGGCATTCTGGTATATTTCAAATGATAGCCTGATAACCACAATCCTCTCTGTATTAGTTTCTTACAGCTGCCATAACAAAGTACCACAAACTGGATGGCTTAAACTATAGAAATTTATTGTCTCATAGTCTAGAGAACAGAACTCTGAGAAGGTGTTTTCAGGGTTGGTTCCTTCTGAGGACTGTGAGGGAGAACAGCTTCTCTCCTAGCTTCTGGTGTTCTGCTGGCAATCTTTGGTATTCCTTGGCTTGTAGAAGCATCACCCTAATCTCTATTTTCATGTTCATGTTCATGTGGGTCAAAATTCCCTTGGGCCCATGCCTGGGTCCAAATTCCCACCCCTACCTCACTCTCCCCTTCACCCTGTCCTTTTTCTTTTTTTTTGAGACAGGTCTGGCTATATCACCCAGGCCGGAGTGTGGTGGTGTGATTACAGCTCACTGCAGCCTCGACCTTCTGGGCTCATGCAATCCTCTCACCTCAGCTGCCCTGAGTAGCTGGGACCACAGGTGTCCACCATCATGCCTGGTTAATTTTTTTTATTTTTGTAGAGATTAGGTTTCTTATTATTGCCCAGGCTAGCCCTCAAACTCCTGGCCTCAAGTGATCCTCCCACCTTAGCCTCCCAAAGTGCTGGGATTACAGGTGGGAGCCACCACACCCGACCCAAATTTCCCTTTTTTCTAAGAATACCAGTCATATTGGATTAGGCGACCATCCTACTACATTTAGCTAATTACATTTGAAATAATCCTATTTCTAAGTACAGTCATATTCTAAGGTACTGGAGGTTAGTACTTCATATGAATTTTGAGGGAACACAATTCCCTCAAACATAGGGAATTTAACTCACAACATCACATTTCCAATGTAGGTTTTACAACTTAAGGGCAAATCTTAATTTCAGAAAATATTACCAAGAATGTAAATGCTTTATCTGATTTCCACAAACCAATCTTTTTCTACCTATTTACATAAAATATATACATTCTGTTAATTTCACAGTATTATGAATTTCATAGTGTTTAGAATTTAGTAGAAATTTACCTAGTAGGTGTCTTAGTTAAGCTGCTATTTCATTAAATGCTTATCTTTTTCAAAAGATTTTCCAAATGTAGGAAATGTAGGATATTTCGAAATATCCTAAATTAAAACTAGAAGGGCTTGCTTGTTGACACAGTGTGATCAGGACTGCTGATCTCTGAAGCACTGGACAATTCTATAAAACAATATATTGAACTCCTTCCAAATATGGTTTAAAAATAATAGACAAAATGGCTATAAAACATCTGTTACTGAATAAATGAGAATATATGAGCATTGGAAATCAGTGTTTATAATCATTTGACAGTTGGCATTCACAAAATTGTTTCGTATTGCACTGGTGATAGTTTCTACATATATCACTTTGTTTTTTTTTTTGAGAGGAAGTCTAGCTCTGCCACCCAGGCTGGAGTGCAGTGGCTTGATCTTGGCTCACTGCAACCTCCGCCTCCCGGGTTCAAGCGATTCTTCTGCCTCAGTCTCCTGAGTAGCTGGGACTACAGGCCCGTGCTACCACGCCCGGCTAATTTTTTGTATTTTTAATAGAGACAGGGTTTCACCATGTTGACCAGGCTGGCCTCGGACTCCTGACCTGGTGATCTGCCTGCCTCGGCCTCTCAGTGCTGGGATTACAGGCGTGAGCCACCGCGCCCGGCATCCCTTTCTTTTCTTTTCATTTTTTTTGAGACAGAGTCTCGCTCTGTCACCCAGGCTGGAGTGCAGTGGCACCATGTCGGCTCACTGCAACCTCCACCTCCTGGGTTCAAGCGATTCTCCTGTCTCAGCCTCCCAAGTAGCTGGGATTACAGGCGCGCGCCACCACGCTCGGCTAATGTTTGTATTTTTAGTAGAGACGGAGTTTCACCATGTTGACCAGGCTGGTCTCGAACTCCTGACCTCAGGCAGATCCACCTGCCTCGGCCTCCCAAAGTGCTGGGATACCAGGCGTGAGCCACCATGCCCCGCTACATGATCACTTTCTAAATTAGTGCTGTATTTGTTTCTTATTTTAGGTATCTGATTAAAAGTACAACTTTTAGAAACACTTTTTTCCCCTCCGCTTACAAAATGGATCCATCCAATATCTGTTACCTAAACGTTTCACTGTCTTTTGATTAGTTTTGTACCAAAATTCACAATATGTGCACCAGTATTCAATAGAAATAATGCAATGTCTGATACCACTTGCTTTTTACCCAAAGCAAAACAATTTGATTCTGTAAGTCGTTCAAATCCTATTCATTTTCAGAAGCAAAGCTGGCTTTACGGAATTTAATTAGGGGATGAAGCAGCTACCTGGGAAGGGCAAAGCATCGAGTTCAATCAAGGATCCTGTAACCTGATACTATTACTGTTGTTCTGTCTGCCAGTCCTAAATAGGTTTCATAATCTCCTTATCTCCTATCCTCTCCATGTTAAAGGTCTTGTTTTGGGTACTGTCGATACCGAAATTAATCTAACTTTGACTAGAAATTGGCTTATTATATTTCCCAGATCTTAAATCACTGTGGGAGCAACTATGCGGAGAATCTTAAAAGATTTCTACGTCGCTTAGCTTGCTTTTTCCACCGGTTCTCTTTCCCGTCTCCCAGACTGTCTCAGAACCTTTTCTTTTTTCTCTTTTGCTTAGTTCCTTTCACACTCAAGCTGTGTAAGGGGATTTAAATTCCAACCCGGAACTCGGAATCGCGCGCCTTGCATGACGGAAGTAGTAGTTTCTGTGACTCCTCCCTTCCCGTCTTTCAAGCCGATTCCTCCCCGCAGCTAAAAACTACAACTCCCAAAATGCATCCTCGGTTTGGCCCGCCCCCGTGCGCACGCGCTCTGAGGCCGCCGGATTTGAATCGGCGGCGTTGTTATTGACGCCATATTGGGGCCGGCGGCGGGTGGGAGAGTCCTACGGGGGAGGGGGAAGCGGTTGGACGTGTTCGCTTGCGGTCGTGCTGCCGCAGCCACCTCGCAATCTCTCTGCATCGATCGCCGCTCTCAATCTACTGACCGTACTCGGGCGTATTAGGAGCCGCGTTTCAGCCTCACGCCCCACAGTGCTGTTTTCGACTTCAGAAAGGATCTGGTCTCAGCACAGAAGCGCCTCAGGCGCGGCGCAAAGCTCGAGCGGACGGCGGGGGCGGCCGGAGCCTCTCCCGGGGGAGCTGCGCCTGAGGAGGCGGAAGAGCCCCCCTGACGCGACTGGCGTGTGCTTCTGCCCGCCACCGCCCCTCCTGCTCTCACCCGGGCCGTCCCTGGCCACTGCCCCTGCCGCGGAGGCAGCGGCGGCGGCGGCTCTGTTTTCCACAGCCGGCGCTCTGCGACCCGCTTGGCTCCTGAGCCCGTCGGGTAGGCTCTCCTCGAGTTCCCGCTCTTCCCCCTTTTCCTCGCCCTCTTCCTCTCGTCACCCCTCCCCGACCCCGCCCGAGCCCGGCGCTTCAGCTGCCCCCGGCCATGGCGTGCGGAGCCACTCTGAAAAGGACTCTGGATTTCGACCCGCTGTTGAGCCCGGCGTCCCCGAAGCGGAGGCGATGTGCGCCATTGTCGGCACCCACCTCGGCCGCTGCCTCTCCGTTGTCGGCGGCCGCGGCCACTGCCGCCTCCTTCTCGGCTGCGGCCGCCTCGCCGCAGAAGTATCTCCGAATGGAGCCATCCCCCTTCGGCGACGTCTCCTCCCGCCTCACCACAGGTGGGACCCGGCCCCGCGGCCGCCGGGGTAGTCGAGAGAACAGGGGTCCTGGGGCGTGGGATGCGGCCCCTGGGGTGGGGGTACCGGACTGTGTGGTTCTCGTTCTTAGCAAAGTAGTAGGGCAGCCACATTTTTCATTAGGTCCTCGTAGCCCGAGGACCTAATAAGACACAATAGAAATGGGCTGATGTCAAGGGGGTAGTGTTTGGAGGTGGGTAGGGGCTTTGCCTTGTCGGTATTGGGTAGAACAGGGACATCTTTTTCTTTGGGCCGAATGATTGGAATTGTTTCCGTAGTCGCTGGAGACTCAGCGGAAATGATCAGAGAGGGCGATATTATTCGTAAATTTAGGCGAAAGGGTCACATTTCGCCCCAATCTCAATGTGTGCTTGCCGTAATCGATTGGTTGCAGCTATTAACTCTGGGACTGGGTGGTTTGAGGCGAGGCTACAGCCCCTCCTCCAGTTCAGACATGGCTGATTTTAGTATAGTGGGGGTGGGGGGTGGGGATGGATGTCACTGGGGCGAGATCTAGGCCTGTCATTAATCACCCACAAGAACGCCACTTTGGCTGAGTCAAGACCTGTTTCCCTAGCAGGGTCAACAACAAAGAAAACGCTCTTCCCGAGTACTGTAATATGATCATACTGTACATCTAGACCTTGAGAAATCTTGAACTTTTAATAAGTATATTGCATTGAAAATTGGGGCTGAGGAGTTGTTTTTATTTGGAAATGCTTTATTTTTGCCCAACAAAGTATGTTGGGAGAAAACAACCTAGCCTTGAGGATAATGAAGAAATCAACCCAGCATTCCAAGGGACTAAAGACTTTTGCTTTTCATCTTGAAACATTTCCTGAGAGAGACTATGGGGAATGTCTTTTGGCTGCTTTGTAGGGCATGTGTATGCCCAGTTTTTTCTGTACTTTGAAATCCTTGTGTGCCCCTGGCACAGTCCTAGGATAGGCTTTTGTGGATTGAAGTGTAAATGTTTCCTTTGTGTGTAGCATGCAAAGATTTCTGTGTGAGCCTTTAGTAATAATATCACCCTTTAAACAAAGCCTTTTCATAGCTTGATTTAAATGTCTCATTATCATTAGCTTAAAAAAGTGAAGTATATACCTCTATATTTGGTGACTTCCATTTGAAACTGACTTTAGTGTTTTTTTTTAATGTCACATTTTGAAATATTTTCTAAATCCATGGAGTGACCCTCGAATATGCAAGCTACCATTTTTGCTATTAAATATTTGATCTAATTTAAGGACATACTGTTTCAGAGTTGTAGTGAGTTGTCACGGAAATTCTCGGATAAATTTATTTAATGACCTTACTGAACTGTCTTTTAATTAGATTGAAAAGGCATTTGTTGATTGTTAGGCTTTACTTTGGGGAAAAAAAAAAAAAAGGAAACAGCCAGTGTCAAGAATGAGCTACTGGTGGTTGACATTTTTGGAATTTGTCTTTTAGTGAAATGGTATCATTGGAAATTGAAATGGAATTTGTACTTAACTAATAAGGCCATTTCAAAATAAGGTCATTAAGTAGCTAACCAGCAATAAATTTCAGTCGAGGGAGTGAATTAATACAGTGCTAGGTTTGGGAATTAAAGTACTATATCTCAATGTGAAAATAATCTTGGGCATGTGTGTAAACCAGTGGGGTATAATATGTTCCCCCCCTTTAAAGCACACTTACTCGGAAAGAACTGTGATCCTTTGTAAACTTGACTTTTCATTGGCATATCTGTAGCGTTGGTTAATACAATTGGCTCCACATTATCTCAAGTTTAAATTAATTGAAGTATCGTAGTAAAACGACTGGAATTATTGGAACTGTTTAAGCCAGCTAATTCAGATTCACATTCACTTTCCAAAATACTGCTATTCTGTTCTTCAAGGTGTTTTTTTGACATCTACTTTGGAAGTTTGATTATATCCTGAAATCTAAAATCGCATCCTAATTGAGTCTGCTGAAAGTTATTCTAACTAATCTGAATATTATCTTAAAAAGTTGACTTGAGAAAACAAGTTGAAATTAAAGTTTTGACTTGCTAAAATTACATTTTTTAAACTGTAGTTTTGAATGACATTCTAAATGTAATTTAATTTGACTTTGTGTTTATATGGCCAATTTGGGGTATGGTCCTGTATGTTTTTTGTAATGCCATAATGGGAGCTGCAGTGTTGTGCAGGTATCAAAGAGCTTCCCCGTTTTCATGTTACTAAACTTGGAAATAATTTTCTCATGCACCTGATTTTCAGCTTCCTATTTTAACACCGATTATTCTTAAACTTTATGGGAGTAAATACCCATCTGTCATTAAAATGAATAGTTAGGATTGGGAGTAGACAGTGGCTTACCAAATTGAGATTGGCGAACTTGTGGGAACTCTTTGTTTTCCTTTCACATCTGTGAGTTCAAATATAATACAAATAATGTAGAATTAGAGTACTAAAGTGAATTTTTTTCAGAGCATGTATACAATTTATTTTTTCATTGTTCTCCTCTGGATATTTTCAGTTTCTGATGGCATAGCTGAAGTCATGTTGTGGCTTTATTAGTTTCAGGAACTTGGATGTCTGTTTTAAACCTTAGCTATCATTTTAGTCATCCCAGGAAGTTTGACTTGACTATTCTTATTTAAATATTTTTCAAAGTGTTGCAACTTAATACTAGGAAAAAGGAAGGACTAGCTGAGCTGAAGGAAGTTAAGATTGCTTTCTTAACCGCAAGGCTTAGAGCCTTTACTATGCTAATTGGCATTATGAATTTTTTAGGGGCTCCTTAACACACAGATATCCCAAACCTGTTTTTTAGGACACCCAAGTGTTACTACTTCAGAAATGCTGTCCAGGGTCTAGGGGTGGTTGGCAAAGTACAGCCATATTTTTGTGTAGCCTGAGAGCTAAGAATGTTCTTTACATTTTTTAAATGGTTGGAAAAGAATCAAAAGAATTATTTTGTGACACGTGAGAATTATGTGAAATTCAAATTTCAGTGTCCATAAATAAAATTTTATTGGAACACAGCTGTGCTCATTCTTTTTTTTTTTTTTTTAAAGTATTGTTCATTGCAGGTGACGATGGCAGTTGAATAGTTGTCTCAGAGAGTGTATTGCCCCCAAAACTCCATATTTGCTCTCTAGTGTTTACAGAAAAAGTTTGCTTACCCTCGTGTGGGGTGTCAGCAGTGAGGTTTATAATACCCCTGGGTATGGGAAAGGAAAAGTGATCAGTGGAAGTAAAGGGAGGGGGGAGTAGAGGCATCGAATATCCTTGGGGAAAGGAATACCTCTAGTAGCTGCATCAATACTTACCCTGGTAAGTTAGTTGAAAACCAAATATGCTTTACAATTGGTTTTTGAAACATCTCGTAATACTACCATTTAGCCAAAAGATTGTCATGACATTCCCAAGAAAGAATAAAACCAAAATATTGCAACATTGTAAGAGACCATCAATCAAATCCAACACATTGTTTTCATTATTATGTAGTGAATGAATGGTCTGAAGGTACCCTTCTGTGAATGTTAATGTATTTGTGAGTTTGTTAGGCACATTAATTCACATTGTTTATGGCTTGGTACCATTACTCTAGTCTGCCTTAGGAATTGAATTCTGTGAAGAGTTAAGTTCCTTTGTAAGAACTCATTGTACTTGCTGGAAACTTGCCATTAAAAATGGAAACTACAGCTTGTGAATGGAGAAGGGTTTACAAGAACATAGATTGTTCACCAGACATTGATGCATGCCTGCAAACGGAGACACCAGCTGGCTTAAATGAAATATAAATGGTTCTAGGCAAACAAATGAGACGTCTGTTGGAGGAGGCAGCATCTCACTTCAGATGTCATTTATATTGAGCCAGAAGTATTTTTTAATATTTTGTGGTTATTTAGACAGCTGTTAAGTTGCTCCTAGTTTCTCACTGGATTTGGCGAATAAATGTTTTTAATGGTCTTTGTACTTTGAATCTTAAACCTGATATTCTATTTAGGACTGTATGTAGCTGCAGTTACTGCGTATTTCTATGACTTATGCATTTAAGAATCCTGTAAGTTTATGGCCATTAAAAACTGCAGTTGTATTCTGATATCGAGATTTTTTTTTTTTTTTTTTTTTTTGAGACAAAGTCGTACCCAGGCTGGAGTGCAGTGGCGTGATCTCAGGTCATTGCAGCCTCCATCTCCTGGGTTCAAGCGATTCTTGCGCCTCAGCCTCTGGAGCAGCTGGGATTACAGGTGTGTGCCACCGCACCTGGCTGATTTTGTGTGTGTGTGTATTTTTAGTAGAGATGGAGTTTCACCATGTTGGCAGGGCTGGTCTTGAGCTCCTGACCTCAGGTGGTCCCACTGCCTTGGCCTCACAAAGTGCTGGGATTATAGGTGTGAGCCTCTGCCCCCGGCTTTTTGTTTGTTTGTTTGTTTTGAGATGGAGTCTCACTCTGTGGCCTCGGCTGGAGTGCAGTGGCGCAATCTCGGCTCACTGCAACCTCTGTCTCCTTCCTGGTTTCAAGTGATTCTCCTGCCTCAGCCTCCCGAGTAGCTGGGCTTACAGGCGCACACCACCACGCCCAGCTAATTTTTGTATTTTTGGTAGAGATGGGGTTTCACCATGTTGGTCAGGCTGGTCTTGGACTCCTGACCTCATGATCCACCCACCTCAGCCTCCCAAAGTGTTGGGATTACAGGTGTGAGCCACCGCTCCCGGCCTCCATGGCTTTTTTTTTTTTTTTTTTTTTTTTTGAGATGAGTCTCGCTCTGTCGCCCAGGCTGGAGTGCAGTGGTGCAATCTCTACTCACTGCAAGCTCGACCTCCTAGGTTCACACCATTCCCCCTGCCTTAGCCTCCCAAGTAGCTGGGACTACAGGCGCCTGCCACCACGCCCGGCTAATATTTTGTATTTTTAGTGGAGACAGGGTTTCACCGTATTAGCCAGGATGGTCTCCTGGCCTCGTGATCCGCCTGCCTCAGCCTCCCAAAGTGCTGGGATTACAG